GGGCATGGACTTCTCCCTGACCCTCCTCCCTCCACTGACCTCTGACAGCTTCTGGCATCTCCACTGGGCACACCTGTCCCACTGGTGCTCCCTCCTGCCAACTCCCCTCCAGGTGGCGATGAAGCTACCGGCACCGTGCCTCCTCCCCAGGCCACTGCGGGCTTGCTCTGCTGACCGGCCAGGTGTACGCCAGGCACCAACCTCAGCTCTCGCAGCCTCACAAGATGTCCAGAGGCGCTTCCCTGGGCACGAGCACCCAGGTTTCAGGAGTCAGCTCGGCTGTGGGAAAATCCATTCCTCTTACTCATTTGTAGTCAAGCTGCCCAGTGCATGGAAATAACAATAAAAATTTAAAAATGGCCCTGGCTGGTGTCGCTCTATGGTTAGAGCGTCTGCCAGTGCACCAAAGGGTCAAGGGTTCGATTCCTGGTCGAGGGCATGTACTGGGTGGCAGTTCATTCCCTGCCCCCGTCGGGACACCAACCACTGTGTCTTCGATGTCTCTCCTCCCAGTCCCCCTTTCCACTTTCCCTGAAAAGCAATGAAACAATGTCCTCACGTGAGGACAGAACAAAGTGAAAGCATTCCCAAGGCCCAGGCAGCCGGGTCCCTCTCAGGCTCGAGCTGGAGCGCCCCCGCCCCAGACGGGGAGCCGGATGCCCACACCCCACAAAGGAGTGAGGGGCCTGGGCTCATGGGACAGCCGATCCACCTGCCGGCGGCTCCAGGGGCTCTTCTGCTCCTTGAAAACCAAACACCGTGAAGACCCGACAGGTGAGCGGGCTCCAGCCGGGACGACCGAGCCTGGCAGCCCCAGCAGAAGCGGCGCCCGCAAGTCGCTGCTGTTGGCGCAGAGGCCCCGTCCTGGTCCATGCGTTCGGCCGCACGCCTGGCACTGGACCCACGGGCTCGGCAGCAGCCACAGGGTCCCGGGTGCAGGTCAGGTCAGTCTGCCTTCACGACCCCGTGAGGGCTGTGTACAGTCCTGCACACCTTCCTCCAGGTAACAACCCCACTTCGCCAACCAGACTGGAATGGTTTTATTTTTAAAGCCCATGCTACTTGAGGAACCAGGAGCGCGGGAGCAGAGCCATGTGGTGGGCGAGGTGCACTCGCTGCTCTCCGGCCCGAGGATGGAGCCGCAGTCCCACCCGGGGCCCTCAGCCAGCAGCAGCGCTCATGGTCAAGGCAGAATGTCCGTTAACATTTTCTACGACTCAGGACGTGAGACCGAATTCTGAGTCACGACCTGCGGCCAGGGCTGGTCCAGCAGCCGGGCCTGGGATGGGTCAGCACCGGACGGCTCCAGCCCTCACTCAGACCCACAGCTGCACGGACCCCGTCTCAGAACACAGAGGGGTGGCCACAGGGAGCTCGGTCACCTGACGAGCTCAGACGGCGTTGTGATGGCAGCGGCCACTCCGGAGAGGACGCAGGTCGGCGGAGCCTTCAGACCGCCCTCGAGCATGGCCTCCGGAACGGGCCCCGGCCGGAGAGGCCACTGCGAGCCTCAGGCCTCCTCCGGGGCCCCGGGCAGCTCTCTGAGCTGGCGGCTGTGGCCCACCCGCAGAGCGCCCCCCGCGGCCTGGCGGAGCTGGGCGTCCAGGGCGCTGCGGAGGTCGCTGACGTGCAGGGCGTCGAAGCTGAGGATGACCCCCTCGGGGCCCGGTCCCTCGTCTACAGGAGCCACGTCCCGCCGTCTCCTCCGGAGGTCGGCACCGACCTGAACTTTCAGGTCCCGGTTCGGTTTGACATGGTCCAGCTTCTGAGCCCCGGGCACGGCCTGTTGGGGCCCGAGCTCAGGGTCTGGCTTCTGCTCGGGCTCTGGGGCAGTGGCGTCCTGCCTGGGGGCAGGCACATGGTCCCCGCCCAGGGCCTCCTTTTTTGCCTCTGGGTGCCCTCCCGGGGCCCTGGCGGAGACAGCTCGGCGTTCCGGCTGCTGTAACCCAGCCTGGGCCACGGGGGCTGCTCCTTCCGACCGGCTGGGCAGGCCTGCGGGTCTCCGGTCTTGGCTCACTTGCTGGGGCTGCACTGGAGGGTCCTCAGCCCCTGCCCTGGCTCCCCGGGCACCTGCCGCTTCCGGAACATGGGCACCAGCGGCTGCTGCCTCCTTATGGGATTTGTTCCTCTCCTGAGAGCCTCCACCAAGAAGGACCGGACCCTGTCCAGGGGCATCCCCGGCGTCAGGCTTCTCTGGGCTCCTGGGGGCCCCAGCGAGATCGGGCTCTGGGGCCCCGTCCTGCACACCTGCCACATGGGGCTCAGCGTCCGGCTGGTCTTCCCTCGGCTTTGTGTCCACACCGCCCGGAGGACTGGCGGGGGCTCTGCCTGCAGCCCCCTTGGGCTCCTGCAGGGAACGCTGGCTGTGTCCCTGGGGTGGCGCGGGGGGCTGCCCGGGAGCCCTGAGCTCAGGTTCCAAAGGCTGCAGGGGGGCGCGCACCACCGTCTCCCCGTCATGGGCCTCCTGCTCCTTACTCCTGGGTGCGGCCACCCCAGGCTCGGCCGGCGCGTCCACTGTAAGCGAAGGGATTGGTTTAGCCAAGAAATGAACAGAAGCCACTGATGCCGGGACTGAAAGGAACCGAGCTCGCCACAGACACGTGCCCCACAAAGCAGAAGACACAGCCCCTCCCCAGCAGCCTTCCTTCAGCCCCCCCTCTACCCCACCCCCGCACTTGCCATCCTCGCCGTCCGGCCGCTGCTGGTGCATCTCCTTGTGCTGCTCCTCGATCACCGCCAGCAGCTTCTCCTGCTGGTCCAGGAGGCGCTTCTGCTGCTCCTGCTGCTCCTTGATCACCTGCAGCAGGACCTCGTGGTCCAGCCTCTCCACGCGGCCGGCATCTGGGGCGGAAACACCGTCAGAGCCAGTGCCAGCCGAGGCCAGGATGCCAGGCGCGCAGGACCTCCCAGGATGCCTCGGGTATGCCGTCCCCTGCTGGTCTAGGAAGCGGAGGGGCTGCCAGGGCTGTTCCCGGGCACGGCCTGGGGCTCGGACACCCCGGCAGAGACCAGGCACCCCAACTCGCCCACGGGGCCCCGGCCAGGCAGCACCGTGTCCCCTGGGCTGTGGTTACGCTGGAAACTTTGGGAAAGAATGCCAGCGCCTGCAGGACAGTTCCTCCAGGTGAGGATTTTGAAAACAAACAGAACTGCCTGCTTTCAGGGGACAGGCCGCCACACAGAGTCCCCAGCACAGGCTGCAGGCACCGCCAGGAGCTTGGCCAGCGGAGGGGGCGATGCGGCAGGTGTGTCCAGGGGAGGCCCGAGGCTGGGCACCTGCAACTGGAGCCTCCAGGGGGAAGGGAGCCCCTCCCTCTGCACTCCAGCACGGCGAGCTGCTTCCTGAGCCGCGTGCAGACGTGTGACTGGGCAGAACTGCCGGTGGGCACACTCACACGAAGGAAGGAGCATGTTTGCAGGGGGAGGGCCAACAGCCCAGCCATGCCCGCCTGGCAGTGGGGGGTCGGCCTTCTCCCAGGGACTGCAGGGGGTCTCCCGCTGGAGGGGGCGCAGGGTGTGCAGGCAGTGGCCTGAGGGAACAGGCTAAGGCTGCCCACGGGGAGGAAGGGGCCACGGGAGGAAGGGAGGTTGGGAGGACGGACCCTCGGCAGGGGCCCACCCAGACACCCCGGGCACCGGGACACCTGCCTAGGCCAAGGCACGGCCATGGACTGGATGGGGTCAGGACCCGCACTCCCCTTGGGTGAGGTATTGGGCCACCTGTCACTCGGCACCTGTGGCTCATGACCGTGTGCTGCTTGGTGGTACAAGGCTGGCCCCTCGGGGTCCCAGGCGGGTTCTGGAGGTGCCAACCCCACTGCCCCACTGGCTCCCAGAGGACCAGCTCTGCACCCATGCCGGGAGGGGCCGCATGGGACAGACATGAAACAGAGGGAGGTGGCATGCTGTGCCCCAGCCCGGGCCCATGGGGACCACCTGCAGGCGGGTGGGAGCTGCCGATGCTCACACACATGCAGAACATATGAACACAGGCCATGCACACGGCACAAGTGACACCACCCCTCTCCCTGAGGCAGGGCCTCTAAGGACTGCAGAGCCACCTCAGGGCATCTGTACGAGAAGGGGGTAAGTTGGGGCGTCGGGGACCCCAGCTGGGGCTGGAGGCTGGTTGTGTGTGCAGCTTCCGGGCTCTGCCCACGTGCTCCGTGCCGGGCCCTCACGGGACCGCGTGCCCGCGCAGCCCTGTGCTCGCACCCCTGACCCTCGCGCCTTCACTGGGACACGCCCCTGCGTCCGTACCTGCTACTAGCTTTTTGATCTCAGCTGCTCATCCCGTTGGAGGCATAGAGAGAGGCAGAGAGGAGCGTGAGAAGTCTCCTCGGAGGGAAAACTGGAGAACCACAGCGAGGTGGGCGCTCGGGCACCAGGACGCAGGGAGACTGAACCCAGAGGCCAAGGAACACGGGGCCGGGAGGTCACCCCAGGGAGCCAGGCCCTGGGCCCGATCCCGCACCTGCTGGCTGCCAGGCCACGCGTGTAGACCCATGAGCACACGACAGGCGGCGGCTTTGTAAGGGAAGGAAGGGGACAAGGGTCCCAGGGCGGTGGCAGAGAGAGAGCAGGGCGGGCGGCTGGCAGGACACTGAGAAGCGCTGAGGCCCGGCACCTGCAAAGACCCCCAGACAGCCCTGGCCTCTCCCACCGCTCAGGGTCTGCGAGGAAGAGGCAGGTGTCCCCTGGGCCCACGAGGGTGCAGTGAGCAAGTCAGGCCCTTACCCTCCAGCTTGCTGCCGGCGGGGTCCCCGGCCGGGCCCTCTGCGTGCTCCCCAGGCTGGCCCTCCGAGCTCCTCTGCCCTCGAGGCTCCGCTGGCTGCCCGGCCCTGGGGGCTGGCTTCCCACCTGCACACACAGTGACACACGCTCGCCGGCCACTCGGCAGGAAGGGGGACACGGAAGGTGGAGGAGGGGCCGAAGGTGGCAGATGGTCCCTAAAAGGACCTGCACTCCGCCCCTCCCTCCCGCCAGCAGTTCACGGGAAGTCCTAACACACATTTACCCACTTCCCGGCCCTGGCTGCGAGCCTGCGCTAACCGCCCGGCCGACCAACATGCGCGAGCCGTCAGGCTGCTCTGAGCCGCGGGACAGCCTGGCAGCTGGCACCCGCCAAGCGCACACCGTGCACAGGACACAGGGGCAGCCGGGCTGACGCTGGCGGCCTGGCGAACACGTGTGACGTTCCAGCGGCTGCCAGGCCACAGGCTCCCCGCACACCGGCCTCACGAGGAGGGCAGCCCGACAGGCCAGGCTGGGCCCTTCCAGGCAGGCCCGCTCCCCGGGGCTGCTCTCCGGCTTACCGGCGGCGTGGTCCGGCTCAGGGACGCCGTCTGCTCTGTCCGCGGCCCCTGCCCCCAGGGCGTCCTGCCCCCCGGGGGGCACTGCCTGGGGCCCTGGGTGCAGATCCCCGACCACCGGCTCCTGGTCCTCCTTCACGGGCTCCACAGCCCGCGGACCATTTCCTTCTGGAACCTTCTGGGGACCTTTAGGAAGACCCCCCTCGGGCTCCACGACCGGGGCCTGTGCCCCTCGCGCTCTTCCTGAATCCGGCAGAGGTGGGGCCACCTGGCCCTTGCCCCCAGGAGCCTCGTCGTCCACGTGCTGGGACACACGTTCCTTCTCCGCCGCTCCTTCTGGGTCTTGGCCTTCGTCCACCACCACCTTGTCATGCGGGACGGGGGGCTCGTGGCGATGGGCCTCCCCCATGGGCACCGCCACGCCTGGGAAGACACGAGGGCATGTCCGAGGGGGAGGGGAGGGCGTGGAGGGGGAGGAGGACCCTGGAGGAAGGCTGGTGCCCACGGCAGGCCAGGCCAGCGAGGCCACCTCAGCTCTGGCTGCTGTGGGGACTGAGGCTGTTTCCAGAAAATGACAGACGGGTAGCGGCAACCAGCTGCTCTGGGCAGAGCAGGCATGTGACCCAGGGGAGGAAGCGGCCGAGGGGAAGACCCGAGGTCCTGGGAGTCCCTCCCCCGGCAGCCTGGCCGCCTG